TATATATATCTTAATATTGTCCTGAACTACACCTGAGCTCTTGCTGTTGTGAAACCATGAAATTATGTTTAAGCAATAATAGCAAATCATATCATATGGAGCTTTTTTCCTACAAGGTGATATTTACCTTTGATAGTGGTGTCTAGAGGATGCTCAGGTGGCACAAAGGGGCTCAAAGTGTGCTGAGAAAAATATCCACTACGCGGTTGCACCACTTTCACACTCACTCCACTAACTTGATGCTTCCTAGTTTGTTTGGAGCCAGAAGTGACAATTTTTGAATCAGATGGTAGGGCACCGAGTTAGCTAAGGTTATCTAGCTGCTGCAATAAACCCAAAAAACCAGACATATGCTTGATATATTAACATATTTTTAGATATTTCTTACGCCAAAGGAACCCAACATACATTTGTTATAGAGTGGGAAACTGTCCATGTGCCTCCAAATCACTTTTCATACCAGGCTTTGAACATGCATTTAAATGCTGTAAATTTGGATATTTTTTAATGGAGGTCTGCGGGGATTCACTCATTTTTGCAGCTTGCCTCAAGTGGCCACTCAAGGAACTTTAGTTTGTTTTGTACTTCTGTGTTGGCTTCGTATATTAGCCCCAGAAATTCCTGCTTGCCTGGACATTGATGCATAGTAAAAGCCGTTAATGCTGTTATGGCAGTGGCCCGTTCCCTGTGGTTTGCACACGCAGCTCTTTATTGACACACTTTTTGCATATACACTTAAACTCACCTCACTTGCCCCGCTGTTCAAAACATCTCACTGCTGTAGGCTCATCATTGTGTGTCTCTCTACAGCCTCACACCTTCTATAAGAGAAGAGCTTGATTGGGTGTGTAAGACAGGTGTGCCCAAACCACACTACTGTGGTTTCCTGGCTTCTACAGCTGAGCCAGAAAACCACACCCCAGTGCTACTGCTGTACAAAGAGAAGATGGTAATCAGATTAATGAAATAATAATAATAGTGTTTCTCAGTAACTGTGAATGTTTGTGTCTGCTTATATTATCGCCATATCAACATTAAACGGCTGGTTAGACAGTGTAATGTTTAATTAGTCAATATTAACATTAATAATGTTTGAAAACTTGTAGTAACTCTTGTGCTGCCAC